CAAAGGGCAGAAGTGCCAGGGCAGCACAGTTATAATCTATCCCAGTCAGAGGGACAGCATTTCCTACAAGAAATGTGGAAACCCCTCATACTTAAGGCAGTAGCAGGGAGATTGTATCTAGATTTGTCATGCTGATGTTTAAAAAATTGTTCACATTTTTTTTCAGCAATACATGGGGAAAAAAACCCACTGCAGTCCTTGAAGAATTTCAGCCTCAAATGCCTGTCTCAGCTGTTGAGCTGAAAATGCATTCACAAATCCAGCTGTTGCTGTGCATGCTAGTTTTCCTAGTTTTCTTTTTGCCTTGTATGTTCTGTGCTTCCTTTTAAAAATATTTACACCATATCCTGTTTTCTTGAAGTCAGTAGATACAAGTATTTCTTCCATTGTTAAAACAAATACAAATAATCTCTTGTATCTTTTCCAGTTTTGATGTTTTAGATCCATTTTCAGCTGCTGCTGAGAATTTGTCATCCAGAGAAGCTTTCCCCAGACAGAGGGTGTGGCTGTTCAGGCTTAAACTGTACAGTCCTGTAGCTGATTACTTAAATGGAATGAGACATACTACATTAAGCCAAACTATTTGTATTTATAGCCCTTCCTTCTGCGTTTAGAATGAAGCACATTTGTAGAGCTGGCATAGAGACAGTTTACCCACCAAGCTCCTGCCTGGGGCTGTTGATATATGATCACAGGACTCTGTTGAGTGCTACAGATTTCAGGGAATTTGAATTTCCAGGAATTTTTCAAGTGTTTATAAAACCTTCTTGGCTCCAGTCTCTCTCTCTCCTTTTTTTTTTAAGTATTTTTCTTCTGGAGATTGGAGGAAAAATATTTTCTGGATCAACATTCATCTGTTTATTTCAATTTTTGCCCATTGTATCTTCATCATAAAGGGCAGTCAATAAATACATGATGAATTCTATTTATAAACAGTCATCATTATTCATGGTTTTTCTGGAGGGGAATGTATCTTCTGTTTGTTAGATGTGGTGTAAGTAGGGAGTGATGTAAATCACATTTCAAGGCATGTGTGCTGGTAAGGGGAAAGGGATTTCCATATGGATGACAATTTGTATGTTCTAATCCAGTGGTTTGATCTGACTGAAGAAGTATTTCTTTGAAAAGAGCTAACATCTTTGGTTTTAAATGTTTGCCTGAAACATAAGCCTATGTTGGAAGGTAAATATGATCGGTGTATGTGACCTTAAAGCACTGCACTAATGTACAGCAGTGGATCAAGAATCTGATTTTTCAAAGAAATGTGTTTTTCTCCCTTCCTTTTCAATGCCCCATGTTTGTGGGAGTTTTTTCTGCATTTAAACCACATTTTTTTGGCTTTTAGCTGTAGATTTTCTAGTGCTTTGACCAGTAATTGTCTTACAACCTGTTGTTATACCTGACACTCCTGTAACATAGAGCATATTTAGTCACATATGCCTCTCTAAGAGAGGTCTTTGTGTTTGTCAAAAACTTCATCCAGTGTCTCAAGATTGCATTCCTTCAGTTGGGGTCTTTTTTGAGCCCATCAAGAAGCAGGGATGTCCTGAGTGGTTTGCACATAGACTCAGAAAGCTGTGGAGAGAATGCCAGTGAAAGGATTCTGAGAAAGGGGCTGAGTACAAAGCCAATCCAGTCTCACTCACACATTCTCCACTCTGCTGTGTGTAGAGATGTATTTTGAAGAAAAGCAGTGCAGCAAGACAGCCTGAGCAGCCTTGAGTTGTCAGAGGAGCACCAGTGAGTCATTTCTTGTTTTAAAGAAGCAGCTGGCAGTGGAGTTACCACGTCACAGGCAATGTTTGTCTGGGAAAGGGTGTTGCATTTAAAAATAAATAGGGTTGAACACATTTTAAACATGTTAATTGAAACATGCAAAGTCAACAGAAAAGTGCTTTTAAAACTAAGAGTGACAAAACAAAGAGTGGGTAGGACCGTGACTGGATAGTGAGAAGAGAAGCAGTGTTATCATACACTAGTTTGATAAACTAAATCTTGGTCCCTAACTTTCTGGAATACCTGATATCTTATTCATATGCACAGATTCCACTGCTAATGAAACTTAAAGAAAAAATGCTTTCAAGATTTTTTGTTTTATAAATTTCTAAATGGATTGCATCCTGATTAAAGTAATGAAAACTCCTCTCCTATGACCTAAGTTCAGATATTCTTTGGAGTGGAATTATGTGATTTGCGAGTTAGACCACAGTGGACTTGCAGCATTCAAAATCACATGCAAACAAGTTAATAATTTCAACTTATTAACTTTTTGAACACTGAGCGAAAAGCTTTTACCATTAATTGCTGTGTGTACATTTATTTTAGTTCTGTAGGAGATAAAGACTTCATTTTAACATCAGTTTGCATCTGGAGAAATCCTCCCTTGACTTTATTACAATAAAAGCCTAGAAAAATAACTATCAGGTTGTGCTTTTAGAAAAATGCATTTCTATGAATTTAATTTTGAAAATTCTTTCCTCACCTCATAATGTGGGGTGATTTGGGATTGGTAAATTCTAGCAGGTCCTTACTCTTTTGTTGCATACACTTGTTCAATACTTTTCTCATTCTTGTGTATTTCAGATGTAGCCAGTCTGAATTATTTGTGGGGAGAAGGGGGACTTTGAATATTCCCTGCTGGAATATAGCGAGGATCTGAGTAAAGCTTTCTCATAGCTGTGTTTGCTGGCTTTCAGTTATAATTGTATTTGACACCTTTTACAGTAAGGTGAATACTTTTTACAGTAATCTGTCCTGGTGTGTGACTGACAGGTGGGACTCACAGGGATCAGGCACAGCGTGTGGGAGCAGGCAGAGGCTGGCCTCAGCCTGAACTCCAAGGTAGAGGTGCTGTGTCTCCACCTTCAGCAGCTTATCTGATCACTGGCACTCAGGATTACTTCCTGGGGAAGCTCTTATGTACATGAACATGTGAGGAAGGATATGTGGGAATTACATGTTTCTTAAAATTCATTCTTCATTCCCATTCCTAGTAGCCATTTTCAGCAGATTTTCCAGAGCATTTCTAAGGGTGTTCCTGTCATCTTTTGTGCACAGATCTGAGCCTTACTCTGTAGAATTGCTCTGCAGATAACAAAGGGATGCTGCTGCTTGCAGTTATACCCCTGTGTATTTCCCAGACTCTGACATAAAATCTGTCATTCCTTCTTTCCTTACTCTCAGTTCAGATGTTAGACTGGATGGGTTAAGGGGTGAGGTGAGGCGAGGTGAGGCTTTCATTCAGAATAGAAAAATTAATTTTAGGCACTGCTAAACCACAGCATTTAACTCCAACTTGCTCGAAACAGCTCTGCAAGGGCATCAGGAGCAGTGGTGGGCAGGCAGATCTTGTGGAAGTGGCTCCAGCTTTAGGGACTTGGAGTGTGAACATCTCTGCCCATGTCCTGCCAGTGCTGCTGTGTTCTGGGTGTGTGTGATGTGTTCCTGAGCTTTCTCACAGCTTTTCCTGTTGGCTTGGTTGTTGGGTGCCGGAAATCTGTGGAAATGACAATGAGTCCTCTTGATTATTAAGCAGAGAGGAATAAATCCCAAGTTAGCAAAACTTCTCTTACATTTGTGCAGCCTTTTAAATCTAGCGTTTGGTGCCTCTTGGGCTAACTAAAAGCAGCAGTTTTTCAGCAGGCAGAGCTGAAAATCTCTCTCATCAATGAGAGCAAACTGTCACTGCATCAGTAAGGTGGCAATAAAAGGATTTTGGTGCTGGCTGTGGCCCTTTGGCTGCGCAGTGACACAGTGACACAAATGCTGGATGCTGTGAGTGTGCTGTGCTGAGGATCTGGCTGCTCTCCTGGGGGAGCTGCCATGACAACCCTGCTGCTGGTGGGGAATGCCCTGGCCGGAGTTCCTGCGGAGAGCTCGGGCTCTCTGAGGGGCTCTGGAATATTGCAGGCACCAGAGACCCTTTCCTGTACTCCTGCTGATGTTCACTATTGTCACAGTGGGTGAAATATGCAAATGGTCGTGACAGGTATCTGGGAAAGAAAAAAGCTTGTTTCTCTAAAAGCAGATTTTTTTATTACTTCTCTGATTTCATGGCTTTACCAAATTATTTTAACTTCTACTACTAAATTTAATGTGGGCATGTAATGTTAAAAAAAAAGGGAAGCAACTACACATTAAAATTTTAATCCATTTACAAGATTAAATCTTGCTTCCTGCAAACACTTGTTTCCCTTGCAAGGGAGTTAGAATGGGTGGAATTCCTTTTTGGTTTTAACTGTTTTGAAAGCAGACATTTGCTCCTTGACAAGGTGATTTTTATTGACTTTTGAGGATGGAGATTTTTTCAAGGTATTTGGTTTAGTGTTTTTAGAGAATGTCTAAACCATCTTTTGTTCTGATATCCTGATCCTTCTTGACATGCATTACTTGGATAGCATCATTATCTAAGTAGAATCATTACTCATATAATTAAAAACAGACAACTGTAAAGAGCATAGAAGGGATTCTATTTCTTTATTTTCTTGAATATGAAATACCTTTTAATAAAAGGGAGAATTACTTCATGATTTTTAGCAGGACGTTAAAACATGGAAATTAAATGCCTCAGAACATGAAAAAAACCAATTTGCAGATGCAATCACTTTAATTCAACAAATCTTCCCACAAGCAATTAATGTATTCTTAATACATGAAGCTTTGATATTTGATAGTGTTTTCAGATGTTCCTGTCAAAGCAATGTGTGTGTAGTTATAGGAAAAAGTTCATCAGCATGCCTATGTAACTATAAGCAAAAATAAGAGTGCTAAATGTCAGAGTTTTTGGAGGTAGGGGGCAGTCATATTTTACATTCTTGGCCCTGATGTTTCCTGCACTGCTTAGAGAGAGATCTGACTTACTGAGGAGCTGGAGTGCTTGTGTCATTAGAAATGAACATTATGGTATTACTGTGAGAAGGTAAAGATAAACTTATTGACTGTTGCTGTCTAACTCAGGATTTAGTTTTGAAAGCTCTGCGTGTGTTTATTTGGCTGTGCAGGTAACGTGCTTGCAGGACTTCTTTGGAGACGACGACGTCTTCATCGCGTGCGGGCCAGAGAAGTACCGGTACGCTCAGGATGACTTCGTCTTGGATCACAGTGGTAAGACTGCACGTCCTGACCCCACTGAGACAGGAACTTCTCCATCCCATTCCCCTGTTCAACCCTCCAGAATGGTGTGATTCAGGGAAATATACATGGGAGGATGTTTTCCAATGGATAAAAAGCTTTTTCAAACCATCGTCTTGATTCTGTAAGCCTGTTAAAATGCACCAACAAACCCGATCCAAATTCCTACAGAACTGTCCCTAAAGTTACATGGAAAGCAGAATTATAAAATGTTCTGCCATGGATCTAATGAATCTAAAATCTGTTAATGATGTTCACTTTTGGCATCTGTGACTGTAAGATAATTTCCATATTGCTTTCTTCATGAGATTTTTGAATAATCTCATATGTAGCCATGCTCATTTCAAGTCTTGAATTACCCTGCCAGACAATTCACACAGTGGAATGAATTCACACTTGTCTACTACAGACCAAGTGTTGGCCTTGTATATATTTTGAGGTCATAGGGGATGTTGAGTAGGGAAGGAGGTGAGGCAAGCTGGGACTTTGTGCCCTCCTTTCTGCCTTGGGCAGATCACGAATTGAACTTCTTTACGAAAGCTGTTTTTCCATAAAGAAAAACTTTGTAATGTAAGTTCAAGGAAAAAGCAGTCCTCTACCAGAGAGTTTTGGAATCGTCTTGAAATACCAAATCATAAAAATCTTGGGCTTTTTCCTCCATGTTCATGGAACTGTGGAATGGGTTGAGCTGGAAAGGACCTTTAAAGGTCCTGTCCAGTCCAACCCCTGGCAAGACCAGGGACACCTTCAAAAAAAAAAAAGTTCAGGTTGCTGAGAGCTCCATTGAATGTTTCCTGGGGTAAGACATCTATCAGCTCTCTAGGGACCCTATTTTAGTGTTTCACCTCTTGCTCAATAAAAAATGCCTTCCTGATATTTCGCCTGAATCTACAGTTTTTTACTTTAAAACCACTTCTCTTGTTCTATCACTACAGGTCCTACTAGACATGTTTTTTTTTCCTGTCTTTATTGTTAGAGCTGTAGGAACCCTGATTTTCTTTCATGAAAAAATTAATTTCTTGTAAAGAAAACTTGCCCTGGCAAGAATAATCAGGTTATTCCAGAAGAGCTTCAGGTTGTGAATGAAGGATTTTAATTCTATTTTTTTAATAAAAACAGCAGCACCTTCTGTTCCTGTAATTTTTACACACATCATTATTTCACTACGAAATGCTCAGTTGCAGCAGGAAGTATAGATGTATATCTACCCACTGGCCTGTACATTTGGATGGATGGAGGATTCAACTGCCTCCCATTCTGCTGTTCTTGCTAGGGTGCTGCTTTTCCAGAGCTGCTTGATTATGTTGAGTCAGTTAGTGTGGGGGTGGCCAAAAGGGTGTTTTTTTAACATAGTTAACAGCTAAAAAAATTACTTTATTCTTAGGAAGGAAGGGAAGAGCATGGTTGTATTGACTCACAATGCAAATCCCAGGCTGGGCATAATCCTAATTTCCCTAGCAGATTTTAAGGCTGTAAATGTGCTTTTTCCATTACCCAAGGCGCAGACTAGTTGAGCTCATTTCCTTGCCTTTTTCTCTTTCTTTCCTTTATCTCTTCAGCTATCTCTTCTGCTTCCTCTAATAGCTCTAGGGGTCTTTATGGATAAAAGCAGGGTATATACATGACTGGCAGGGCATGCAGCTCAACCTAATTTTTTTATGATGACATGGCATTCTAATGATGACATTGGCATCAGGGACAAAATATGGAGAGAAATTTATGATCCCATTTGGAGTGATTTGCTAATGATGCTAACTGTGGGAATTAAAATGTTACCAAAATGGCAATGCATGTGTGCTTACTGATTCCTTTCCCACTGAGGTTGTTATTTAATGATATGTAGACAGCAGTCTGTTGTTTCAGCCTTCTGGAAACGATAGGCATTTTTCACCTGTTCAAAAATTGGTCACAGCATCACTTTCTTGAAAAAGAAGGGAAGTAGTGCTGGCTATGCAGTTGCCCAATATGGAAGTGCCATTACAGCAAGAACCTTGGCATCAGCATATGTAAAAACTTGGATTGTAGTAATAATCCAGACTCAAGACGTGAAGAAATATTGTCTGCAGAATGTCACATACAGTATTGCATAGCTCAAATGGGTTTTTGTGATGAGTAGGTTACAGTTGTGAGATGCTCTTACAAATCTGTTTGACTCAGCTGGGCAAAGATGTTTAGGAAGTGCTGGTCATTTTCAGGATGACAAACAGCCTGGTGGTGTGTGGAGGGAGCCTGTGCATTGAAGTGTTGTCAAAACCCTTGACAGAGCTTGCTTGCTTTGTAGAATGTCGTGTCATGAAGTCTTACTCGCGCTCCGCTGCCATGAGGCACGCTGCGTCCAAAAGTCCAGGACCTTCACGTCGGAGCAAATCCCCTGCCTCAGGTACTGCTGCTAGGAAAGAGCTGAACACATCAAATGCACAAAAATTAATTGTTTTTCTAATGGGGTCTGTAATACAAATGTTTCCAGAGGGGCAAAAACCCCTTTTTTCATTTTGTCTCAGAGATTTAATACTAATCTAAAATAAATTTGCATTTTTTTTTTTTAATCCTAGGAAGACATGGTTTCTACTTTTTAATTACAGGCACATGTAGTTTCAGTTTATGAACCATTGGAGTAATTTGTGCTAATTGTGCTCTTGGGATATGTTTTCAGCATGGCACTTGATTTTCTGGAAAACTATTAACTGCAGGGTTATAGATGTGGTTAAATTCATGTTCATTAAACCAGAGTATACTCTTAAATTTTGAATTAGAAAGGTTTCTCCTATATAAGCCAAATGCTATCAGAAATACAGCCCTTTGCTGGTTCAAGTAATTTTAGGACATGTACTGTACTGTGATTGCCCATTAACAGAGAATTTTTCTTCCTGTGCTTGTCATAATTTCAAAGAGAGGTGTTCACACTGTGATTTTGCCACCAGTTTGGCTGAACACCATATCTTCCAAAAATTTTATGTAAATAAAGGGAGAAACTTGTTTTTTAAAAAATTCTTAACCACTGCATTTAATTTCTAACTACTTATTTTTCCCCTGAAATCAAACTATTGAATATGTAAATATATGATGCTCTTTTTTGAATGTAACTATAAATGTAAGCTTCTGTGTGTATTCAAAACTGTAACATGTTCCATATTCTCATCTCCACATTTGTTTTGCTTAATTGGTGCTGGTTAAAGTCATTTTATCGTTGGGTTTTTTTCAAGTGGAATATTAATAATCTGTTTATAAAGGTTGAATGTTTAACTGGAAAGCTTCAAAGGAGGATTGCAGAAAAATGTATCATGAAGGGCAAGTTTTGCAACTGATCTACATTTCATGCAATTCTTTTACCTCCAGTGAGATGATGTAGGATATCTATCACCAGTGAATTTAATGCAAAGTTTTTAGATATCAGTGCTGTCATTCCCATACTTATTTCTGCTTAGACCCTCTTTGGTTTGGTTAATTTGAAAAATGTATGCAGAGTGTGTGGTATTTGTCCTTCTATTTACTTGCCTTTTCTTTTTTTTTTTTTTCTTTCTTCCTTCCTTGCATGTTCAGAGCTGTTTAATAACTTCTTTCCTTAATGTCTTTTTCCTTTGTGTCAAATATATGAGTACAGTAAAGAGGGGTGGCCACTCCACTGCTCATTCTTCAGCAAAATCCCCAGGTGAGCCATTACTATTATGGCTGTATATCACTAGTGTGTCTCCTCCCTCTCCATTTACCTGTATTTTTGTGCTGTATTTGTGAATGTGTTCAAGTTTGAAACACATTTTGCATTGGATGAAACAGAGACATAATGGGTGTTGGATTTTTTTTTTTGTTGAGGTGGATCATGTCAGTGTAATAATGCTTTTCAGTTGTTGGACATCCACTAATGGTGTCAAAGTTAAATTTTTAAAGGTATAATTAGACTGCAAGTAGAGAGCATTCTAAGGAGCAATGCATTTGAATGTTTATTCTAAAGCATATTAAAATGGAACATTTTATGCCAGCAAAAAGACAGATGTGAGAATTACTAAAAAAAGCACTGCAAAACCATCTCATATGTTTCAATTTTATGTGCAATTTCTTATTTTTCTTGTGTTACTTCAGCCTAAATTCTACAAAAACTGAGGAATCATTCTTTCAGTTCAAAGTCAAAGCATTTGTGAAACAAGTAACATACAAATTGATTAGCAAATAAATTGAGTCTTTGGCTCATACTAGAAGTAAACAATTAAGAGGTTATTCATAGATTTTTAAGTTTTAAACATTCCAGTGTGCCAAACATGTAGCCTAACATGCACTACTTCAGAATGACAGAAAAGTTTTGGGGTTTTTTCTGTGTATTCACTGGTGTGCATGTGGAAAGAAACCTCAAAATAATTTATGCTTAGAAAATAGATTAAAAAGGTAATTTTGGCATACATAGGGAATAACCAGCAAATCCATAGCAGCAGATTTGTTCCAATACAGATTGCTGGATTATTGAGTGAGGGAAGAGAAAAAAATGCTGCTGTCTGAAATAGCAGTGTCATGATTCAGCCTTGGCCAGCAGCTAAGCACCACTCAGGCACTTCCTGACTTCTGTGCTGCAGCAGGATGAAGGAAGGGAATTGGAAGGGTGAAAGTGAGAAAACTCATGGGTTGAGATATGAGTTGTTAGTAACTGAAGTAACAATAGTAATAGCAACAATGATACTGCAATGAAAACAACAAAGAGAGAGAAATAAAACCCAAGAACAGCAAGTGATGTGAAGGAGCAGCTGACTGATGCCCTCTTGTCCCCGAGCAGTGTCCCCTCTGCCAGCATTCCCTCTCATTTTACTGCTGAGCATGGTGCTGTATGGTCTACAATATTCCTTGGATTAGTGGGGCCAGCTCTTCCACCTGTGTCCCCTCTCAGCTCGTGAGGAGCAGAAAAGGCCTCGATGCTGCTCATGCTCAGCAGTCACAGGAACATCCCTGCCTTAGCAGCACTTCCCAGCACAAATCCAAAACGTAGCCCTGTGCTAGCTGCTGTGAAGAAAATTAATTGCACCCCAGCCAGAGCCAGCACAAGCAGTTGGCTAACTCCCTGTAGATGCAAAATCTTTACACCTGGACAGGGCCAGTTCCAGCTTTCCCTGGTGTTGCAGTTGCTCAGCAGCTGATGTACAGTGGCTCTCCGAGGGCACTGGCAAAGAGGAATCTGCAGACAGCTCTTTCCAGCAGAATAAACTGTGTGTTCTATAGAGGCACAAAAGTTGGAAGGCACCTCTGGGTGTCATCTAGTCACACCCCTGGCTCAGAACACTGCCCTTCTTCACCAAGAATAGCTGAGATATTAGCAAAGAGCTCCAGCACTGTCAGTGCAATCTGGGCTCCTCTTCCTTGCACAGTTTTGGGAGGGAAGCACGTTATGTTAACCAGCCAGTTTCACTGGAACAACTTAGTGGTTCTGCCAATGCTTGAAGAGGATGGTAGTGACTTAGACAAGGATGCCTTACAGTGGTCATGTCCAGGAAGTAGTGACTCTTCTCTGAGCTGTATAAAAGAATCTTAGAACAAGGGAAAAAAAATTTTCCTCCTGTGGTACTAGTTCGTCATTTGGAAGCAAACTCTGAGATATTTCTACTGAAGTATCTCATTTTTGGTCATGCAAGAAGCAGAAAACACTAAGATAGCAGTCACTAGCCCTTGCCATTGTCATACCTGCAAATTTTTTCTAAAGCAAGGATGCATTGGTTATCCAGAACAAATTGTTGGAGTCTACAACTTCAACAGGGTAGTGTACTCTTAGATGCTTTCAGCTTCTCAAAAAAAAACCCCAAAAAACCCAAACCTTTAAAATCACCTATTTTTCTTACAGGCAAACATTGTTAAAATCAAGATGAAAATATCCTAAATACACTGAATACTTTTAAAAGAAAGTACTAAGGTTTATGGCCTGTAACAGAACTAGGAATATAAATCCAAGTTATCAGACTTTAAGATAGACTTATAAAATAGCTAAACACCGGTTAGTTATATCTTAACATCAGACACCAGAGAAGGAGATTTTTGTGAAAACCAGGGATTTGTGGAAGTTGCAGTGCAGTCAGCCTGGCCTACTGACAGATGGGCTGCCCAGGTTGTAAAAATAGTCCTTGAAAGGCATCTCCCAAACTCAGATAATGTTAGGGTCAGTGGACACTTGTAAAATAAATCCAGTAGTTTAAGAAGTGATGCATAACCCGTGACAGACCTGAATTGTGCAGGTTATTTAATTTGAAGCTCAGTTTCTGTTTACCAGGGTTGTCTTTTCTTTCTGGAAAAATAATTCATCACCGTGCTATGAAGCATTTTTAGCTCTTAAATTTCTGCCTAGTGTTCTTCTCTCCCATGAAAAGTGAGGATCAGCTGGAAAGAAATGATGTCTCATCACATAACATTGCATCATATTTGTGTCTGATGGACAGTGTGCTATTCTCTCTGCATAATGAAATTTGTCAGTTTGACCTTTTCAGAAAAATACAAGGACTGACCTAAGTTATATTCAATACACCAGAGAGATAACAAATGTTGTATGAGGCCTGTCTAAAAATCTGAACTGAAAATGAATGAACCCTTTAAGACAAGAGGGAGGATATTGTGTGTTTTCAAAGACACTTGTACAAAAACAACCTACTAGCTTTTCACTTGTGGAGGTTTTTTTCCCCTAAATCAACATTTTCTGAACTACTGCTAAAGTGTTCTGTTATGCAAAAAAATAATTGTTCTTATTAGAACTCCTGTTCTGTGAAATATTCTACCTAGAAAGTGAGGCCTTGATCCAAACTGAAGAGAAGGAGGGTCAAATATCCTCAGAAACATTTTCTTTCTATAAATGTTATTGTATGATACCACAATTTATTATGGAATTTTTAAAGGCTGTGGCTTTTTTTTTCCCCTTTGTTCCTGTGCCCAAAACTCTTGCCCTGGCAAAGGACAGAATGGGCCTTTTTAATCTCTGGAATGACAATGCAATGATTCCTGTCTCCTTGATCCCATATCCTGCCACATGAATTTTCAGGGTGCAGTTTTGTGACATGCAAATATATATGTTATTTTTGGTCTATGTTTACAGACTTCAGTAATAACTTTTGATTTTTATTCATCTTTTCTTTCATTTTTTTACTTTCATTGCTTTGGCCAGTTAATGGAACCCCAAGCAGTCAGTTATCCACCCCAAAATCTACAAAGTCCTCCAGCTCTTCACCTACAAGCCCAGGCAGCTTTCGTGGACTCAAGGTAAGTGCAAGAACCATTAAACACCCTAAATTTCATTACTGTGTGACACTGGTGCTGAAGGAAAAATAAAAAGCTATAATTTTGGAGGGTAGCCTTGCAAGTATGATTTTTGCTAATGTGGAAAATAGATCTGAAGTAAGATTTTTGTGTTTTGTCTGGATTGAACACAGCATAGGAAAGGCAGAGTGTGATGCTGGCTCGAATATGCCACTTTTTCCTCTAAATTTTCCATTTTTCTGTGGACTGCAGAAATCCTCCAAGCAATTTGTATCCCTTCAGCCTGCAGAAATGTAGTATTGTCTTATAGTCTGTAGCATTGCCCAAGTTTCATCTAAAGCAGACTTATTTCTCCCTGGCACCACTTTCACCCCTGAATCCAGTCTCCTGCCAGAAAGGGTTTGAGCTCTTCCTCTGGGAGCAGCCTGATGTCTGGCAGATTTTTCTGTGTTGCACCAAGAGATTTCTCTTCCTCTCCCACTTCAGAACTGGCTGCGTTTGCAGCTCTTGGAGGCTGCTCTGTGCCTTTGGCTCAGTGAAATAAAAGGAACATTCTGGGTTGCAGGGGAGCATCTCATTGCTGCATTTGTGCAGCTGTCCTTTCAAGGGGAATTTTCTTATGGAATCATAAATTGCAGCCTTTCTGGAAGCAGACTGGATGGTTTGCACTGATTATTCTGATCAAGTAATAGCTCCTATTGGTGAGCACAGCATTTGTGAAGAGGCTGCATAATTCTGTGGAAAACTGTTTTCTCTGTTAAGAGACTGGCTAAAGGACGTGATTTGAATAGTGCTCAGATTTGGGTTTTGACATGCTAATTGTTATCAAGTCTTGTTTTGCAAGGAGTATTGGCACTGGTTTTTGCCAGACTGCTTGTGATAATTCTGACAAAGGATTTTGATTATTTTAATTTATTTGTTTAATTTATTTGTTAAATTGTTCAATTTTAAATTAATTTAAAATTATATCAGTAGCTGTTTGGTTCAATAATTTTCAAGAGCAATAATAGTTCTGACATGGAAAATTAGAACTGTGTCTGTCTGGACAGCTCCTCTATGGAGCTTACAGTAGAGGACACCAGAATCACTGGGCTTGAGGCTCTCAGCTGGTCTGCACTATATTTAACAAATGCTCTTTGGTCTTTCTTTAATGAAATTACAAGTTTAGAAACGAGATCATTTGCCTTGGTTTTTTCCACTGCTGCCCTGTCTGCTTTTAACTGATTAAAGTTGCATTAAGGCAGAGATAATTCTGATAGCAGCAAGCACTTCTCACCAAACTGGACATGTCCCTTTTCCCATTCTCGCTCAAGTGGGCTGCTGTACGTTTTCACTTTGGAATTTAATTGGTGCTGGGTACTAATGGGTTTTTGTGTCAAATTATTCACCCCCATATGACCAAAGAGAACAGCAAAACCAAATTAAGCACCTCAGATCTGATGTGTTACTGAGGTAGTGAGTACCTCTTGTTTTGTCCTTTAGGATGCATCTGTTTAGCAGTAGTGTCCCAGCTGGGCTCCTGAGACAAAAGATAGGGAAGGTTATCAGGGGAGTTCCAAAAGGATCAAGTGTGCTGTTCAGTCACACTTGTTTCTCAGTTTTGTTGTAGTAGTCAGGGCTGCTTTGGGGAAGCATTAAACCAGTAATACAGAGGCATAGTTTTATGCAAAACCAGATTCTATTAAGAAATTCATACACCCTTTTGTGAAATTGGGATTTTTTTGTTTACTCTGATGAGAGAAAAGGGGGAAGCAGGGAACAATTTTATTATTTGGTGATTATTGCTTTTCTCTTTTGTTTAATATTTCCTTGTTGCTAAGACTGCATTGCTGCACAGACAAGCAGTCTGGCTTCCTGCACTTGTGTAAAGAAGGTGCCATGACTACAGCTGAATGAAAACTTAGATATAAATACTATGTCAGTGAGAGAATAAGATGTATTTTAGAGTTTTCTGTCTTTGGGAGTTCAATATTTTGAGTGATTTATTGTGCACAAATCATACATATTTGTTTTTGTAAAGGAGAAACAGCAGGACTGAATAATGGTTTTGTACAAGCTTGAGGCAGCATAAAAAAGGGAAAAAATCAGAGTTGATGTTTCAGAACATCAGAGCAGCTGCACTTGAACTGCACTTTAAAAACTGTTTTATTTGAAAAGCCAGAGCAAAGTAAAATATTTTACTATAGATTAGAACCTTGCTAAGCTTTTTGTAGTTTGACAATCAATGTAAAGCATAAGTGATAGTGCTAGTCATCAAGGCAGCCAGCTTGCAAAAATACTGACTGCAGCAGCAATTTCTTCTCAGTCTCAGACACTGAATCTTATATCATATTCTCTGAATGCCACTGTTCCTTTAAAGTGCAGCCTCTTCAGTCCCCAAGGATTCCCTCTGCTTCACAATTCTTTTGTTAGGAGTTCAGGCACAGAAAATTCCTCACAGGAAAGACTCCTTGTGAGCAGTTTATCTTTAAAGGGAAGGGCTGTCTCTCTGTCCTTTCTAGCTCTTCCAAGCAGAGGGCCCTGGTGCTATTAATTGTTCACTATATACAGAAAGTCCAGCATCCCAGGCTTGCAGAAGGGTTTTAAATAGTGGACTCTAAGGTTATATTGGAGTCAGGAGTTAAAGCTATGTCTTAATAATAGCACACATGATGGAATTTCCCCACAAACCCAAATAGAAAAAATAAGTGACAAATGTGGATACTATGCACCCAATACTCTATATAGTCTTATTCAGGCTGTTTTATTTTTAACAGCCCAGAATCACTCTGCAACTCAGCATTTCACTTAGCAGAGGCTTTGTTTCAAGGTGAAGATTTAGATGTAAAAGTTAAGAAGTATGGGCATGAAGTAAATAATTACTCTGTGCAGTGTTCTCTTTTGATCAAATGTGCTGAGTTGCTTATTTTCCTGTTGAATTCCGATGGAGATAAAATCTGGTGCATGGGTTAATAATAGTGGTAATGGTGCATTTGGTGTCACAGGACAGCTGACCAAGAGAAGCCCTTCTGCTGCTCTGGAGGCAGTGGAGAGGTTTAACATTTTGCTTTGTTCTAAGTGTACATTTCCATGCAAAGCTGTTATGGGTGATTTGACTCGTAGCTCTACCAGTACATCTGTTATTCTGCACACATTGTGCCATAAAAAAAAATCCAGAGACTAAATTAAATTTGGAAATTGGTGTAACTTTGGAAAGTGGTGTCATGAATTTCTTATGCTTACTTGGATTGCTTTATTGTCCCCTCTTGCAATTAAGGACCACAAAGTCTTGCAATCTTTTTAAAAAGAAAAAAAAAAAAACATCCAAATAAAGAGGCTTTACAGTTGAAGCCTTTAGTAGACTCAGAATTATGATAAATAACTTTGTGTTTGAATTTGTTTGGGTGTTACTTTTGCAATTGGTGGACCACATGACCAAAGTGAAAGGGCATTAGAACCTGATCCAACAAATAACTTAAGTACTTGCTTAACTTTCAGCAATTGAGTAGTCCCTTTTACTTCAATGAGGATGTTAATGTACTTAAAGTTAAACATGTGCTTAAGTGATTTGAAGGATTAGTGCCTATCTTCATCAAGGTTTTTGATCTCTTCAGTTGTACACATGTTCTTTGTGTGTAGTTATATGTAAAGATCATTTACATGTGATTATCCAGCCTAGTGACACAGGGGCCACAGCAGTTCATAGGGGTTCTTTAAGTGATGCGTTTGGTGAATTTACAATTCATGTGTAAGGATCAAAAAAAAAATACTGAGTTTCTGTCTTACACATTATGTTGTTATTAAGCATTATAATAGTAAATGCTCACAATATCTCTATGAAACACTGATTATATAAATAGCATTATGTTCAGAATGTCTTTTAGTCCCTTCTTACTACAGACATTCAGGATGAATTGCAATGACATAACCAAAATGTCCCCAGATTTCAGAGAGTACTTCTGCAAAGTTAATCCACAGTTCCACTGAAATACTGATACTCCACCGTTAGATTCACCACCATCCCATGTAGCTGCCAAGGAGTTAGGTATTTCTTTCAATATGAAAATAATCCCCAAATGTTTCCACAAACACTTGAGTCACAGGCACTCTTAATGCTGAGTGCAGAGGTTTACCAACCAAGGTACCATTCCACTGCAAGAGAATAAGGGTTTGTATTTGTGGATCCTTAAAAAATAAAATTCACCAGCTGTGGAGTTGTGGCAGAGTTAGGATTAAACCTGCCATTTCAGATTCGATCTAACACCTCAGCCACAATGGCAGCATTAATTTTATTTTATTTTTGTATTCATTTCAGCTTTTTTCCCTGTTAATGTTTGCTTCCTTCTTACGGTAAGAAGGAATGTGCTCAGTCATGCTCTGCCCTGATTACAAGACTGAAGGAAGTTGGAAATGTGGGCTAGATGTTCCCATGTATTGTCACTCACAGAAAACCCAAAACAGATTAATATTTTAGGCTGATGACTGATACTTGGCCATGGTCTGTTCTGCTATCTCTGCTTCATGCTTGAAGGAAATGTGGCTGACTGGCTAAGAGACTGACTCGTGATTTTGTACAAATGTCATTTAACCCAAATGTCCTTGTTCCTAATCCCTGTTAAACAGACAGATAACTCAGAAAGACAGCAGCCTTAACACAGCCTGGGTTTAAGTTATTAGCAAGGAGCAGAGTAATAGCTGCCTGCTTGCTGTTTGGTGCTACTTCTCTGCCAAACACTGGTAAACTTTGTTGTTTCAGGGGCTCTGCAAAATGAAGTTGTACAGCTCCTAGTTACTGTACCTTTAGCTGATTTGGCAGCTCAGCTGCCACTAGAAACTTAAGCATTCATTAGCATTTCATGAGCCTTTAGACAATATCCCTATCTGTCAGTTCAGTTCTTTCCCTGACAATAGTGTTAATGATTTAAAATATTCAGCAGAGTAACCAGACAATGTCAGCTAAAAGGCAAAATGCTGCATTTGCATTCCCGGTGTCTCGAAAAGCCATTTCAACAGACACTGAGCTTAAGGCAGAGAAGCATTTTAATCCTTCCTGTGGCGAGTGCTGAAAACCACCAGAATGGCCCATGGAGAAAGCAAGATCTGGAACTTCACAGAACAGCAAGAAACGTTTCATAGAGAAGGGGGAATGATCTAAACTTTATTTCAATTTCATGCATCATCCCTATACATAAGTGTAATAGGAGAGCTTATAAAAGTGGTGCACAGAACACATCCAGTATATTTGACTATTTATGGCTTTCATTCTTATGCCTCCACCCCTTTCCAAAATAAAAACTAAGTGTCGTTTACATCCCTGGGCAGCATGACAGGATGACTTAAAGCAGAATAATGAAGATTCAAATCCAGTATCAAATAAGTTGTTAGTGCAGGAAAATCAGTTTTCTTCAGCTGCCGTGCTTGAAAATTATTTAGATATTTGTTTGTTTACAGTGTCACAGTTACTAAAACTGGATCTATGTCTGGATACAAATCTGACATCTATATTGAGATGTTTGTAGGTGTCAAAATCTTCACAAAAATCTTCACATCGATGATAGCCTAAAATATAGTGCAATAGATGGCTGAATAAATCTGATTATCATAGATGTACCTGGCCACCTAGGCCAAAATTGCAGGTGTAGCTGAAAGGACTTTCCTTTGCTGTTTACTGAAATCTGTTCAACTGCTTATCTAAATAGAAATATTGTGGCTGAATCTTAAATTGGTACAAGTGACAATGATGATAAACTTTGAGAAACAAGAATGAAACTAAGACGGGAGTGGAAAAGTAAACTGAATTTGTACAAGTGGTTTTAGTGTGGTTTTGTTTTCAACTTTCTGCTTTTTTGTATGGCTCTTTCTTGTGATTACCATCAGAAATTATAAGTTCTTTTGTACTTCCACAGATCTCCCCACATGGTGGATCTTCTTCCAACGTGAATGGCGTACCTGAATCACTCCGTTGCCAGAGTCCCGAAGGTAGGACACCAGGAACTGCTGGCAATCCTTGCCAGAATCTTGCTGTGGATGACACTTGTCTTAGCCCTATCTGGTGGCTTCTGAAGACTCCAAATCATTTTCTGTTTGGAGATGTTTGTTACCTTGTTGGTTCACCTTGTAAAAATTTTAGCCCAATTCATGCATCAAGGCAGTAAAGTAAGGAGATAAATTTTGATTTTTTTTTTTGTCCATTGGTAGCATATTACTGGACCTTGCTCTTCAATAGTCACTGTTAGGAATTTGGCTGATTTTGAGCATGACCTGCATTATCACTAGAAATGTGTTTGTGGCTGGATTGAAAGAGGAACCCTCCTCAAAAGAGCTCATTGTGCTTCAGGTGGAGCCACTGGCCAATCAACTGACCTTAGCTAAATTAAATATGTCATTCCTCATCTCTTTACAGTAAAGTCAATTATTTTAAAATATTTTTAAATTTAATGTTGGGGTAATGTATTTTATTTAAAAAATACTGAAATAAGCATCTATCAAAATTACTTGCATTTTGAAAGTTTTAGGAGTACCTATAATAACTTGAAGGAATTCAACAGATAAAACTTTTTGGGTCTTTTATATGCATTGTAGCTGAATCTTATTTGCATTTTTGCTTTGAGTTTGCAAAAAAAGAAGCCAAAAAAGTAATTTGAGGTCAGAAAATTTTAGATTAAGAACTTCTAACTGCATTCATTACTTTTAGAATATGCCTATACAAGAACATAGCAAGAAGCTTATTTATGTGTTCAAAGGTCAAATATCTTTGGGTTCATCTTGTTCTTCTTTACACTTGAGATAAAACCAAGGGAATTGCAGCAGAGAAAACAACTTGCTTTTAAGTTTTGTTTTGCATTTGTGACTGTTTTTTGTCTGTGGAGCCCATTGGGGATACATTGCATCCTGCTGACACTTATTTTCAGCTTTCATTACTGACTTCTCTATTTTTTTACAGGCTTGAATGGAAACAAGTTCTCAGGGTCATCTACCATTCTTGAGAAGTACAAAGTGGGGAAGGTGATTGGTGATGGCAATTTCGCTGTTGTAAAGGAGTGTGTGGAACGGTGAGCAAGGAAACTGTTCAGTCCTGCTGCTTATTGTGCTGGATAAAGCCCTGTGTATTAACATAATTTCCTATACAAATATAATGAGATGAAAGCGAAGAGCAGTTGCAAAAATATGCACACACTTCAGGAGAAATAGGCATAGCAAAACATGCAGAGCTTCCTGTGTTTTCTTGTAGCAAAGGGGTACGAGAGCAGCAGAGAGCCATGGCTTTTTATCCCACAAAATAAAGGAGCCATCACCTTCTCATGGTGCCTCCTGAGGAAACCCCACTGCTCTTCAAGAAATCTCTCACACTACAGATGGTTGTGGGTGGCAGGAAATTCTATGTGGCATCTAAACAGAGTTTGAGAGACCCTGCACCCCTTCTGCCTCAGCAGTTCTGCTGCTGTGGTGTCCCCACTGCTGCTGTGATTTGTCACAGCTTCCAGCATTCTGTGGGTAGAGTGCTCTTAAAGACATGCAGTTGTTGGCTATCAGCCTCTGCTGGTGGCTCCCTTGGGCTTGCTGCTTGTGTTGGGTGCTGTGGAGGAGCCAGACACTTCAAATGAACACTGCAACATGCCTGAAGTATCCTTGTGCCTGGCTCCCTGTGGGCTGGGCAGGATACCTGTACAGACCTGTGCACTGCTGCTGCTCTTCCTCTGCAAGCTTTGTGCCACACTTTGCTGCCAGTGCAAACGTAGCAGATGATCTGACTGTCACTTTCTCAGTGTGTTTTTTTTAGAACCACCTTCTGCTATTTCCGTCAACCTGAGAGTTAATCTCAGTTTCTTAAATATTATGAGGAATCTCCAGTTTGTATGCAAATACTGGGAAAACTCAGCAAATTACTTTGAAAAACATAAATGTTAGAGAGACATTCTATTATTTGATCCCCACCTGCTGGTTTGAGTTAAATTGAAGGAAAAACAATTTGGAATGGAAACACCTCATTCCAGAACTGAGGTCAGACTAACAGATCTGTAGTTTCCTGGGTCTTCCATCATGCCCTTGGAAATTCAGTGTCAGCAAATGGAAGGTCACTGCTCCCACCCCTGTGGGCTCAGGAGACTGGGCAGCACAACTTCTATCAGTGGCACTAAAGACTGAGGCAAACAAAACAAGCATTCCAGGCCTTTGCTTTATCTTAATGTTAGTCAGGTGACAGTCTTCAGCAAGTTCCAGTGTTTTCTTTCCAGCTCCCTTTGCTATTGACTCGCTTAAGAAATCCTTAAGTGACTCAGCACTGGCCAGTTTCAGCCCTCATGGGCCTTTGGCCCCTCTGCTCCCCCTGCAGCGTGCACCAACCACAGCTCTCAAATCTTCCTGCAAAGCCCCACCTTGCTTCCAAAGATCCTCTTGAACACCACAAGGAGTTCCCTGCTCAGCCAGGCTGGTTCTCTGCCACTTAATGTTTGGGAAAATTGAAATCTCCCACAGGAGCAAGGGCTATGGATGCTCTCATCGTTACTCACAGAGTAACTCATCAGTGCTTACATCCCCACCAGGTGATCCCAGACACCCCCTACACCACCTCCTCTGTTTTCCACTGCCCTTATCTTCACCCAGAGGTTTTCATGAGGGATAGCAGGTTAAAAGCACAAGATAACATGTTTGTTATCAGAAATATAAGCTGCACATTTTGGAAATCAATTAAATCATACTGGAAATGGGACAAGGGCTGCTAAGTCACTGAATGTCATCTGTGCTTTTTAGAATGAGGAAAGTGGACTACAAAAACAACCTTCCAATTGTAAAAATTTTAAAAAGGCACAATTACACTTCAATATCTAGTTTTGTATCTGATAAAATCTTTAATGCAGCATTATTAAATTAATTTTTTATGAAATAAGTATACAAAAACAATTGCTAATAATAATGATGAAAGAGGAAATGCCAACTGTAAATGCTTCTCTTTTAATTTCTATTATTATACAAAAATTCTGATAGTGTTGTGCTAAGAAGCCTTAGCTGTGGAGCCAGGATCCTATTACAGCTACCAGCTGGCATGTTCTACAAAAAGAACAAGAAAAGAATAAGGTGGTCTCTTTTGTGCCTGTGTGTCTGTACATAAAGACATGAGTCAACAGATGGGCACTGACAGCTCGAGGAGAATCCCAAAACCTGTCAGACCATGCTGGTGTAGGATGTGCAGGGATGTTGGCACACAAATTGTGTGGGTTGTAGCCACCTTTATCCCTGCAGTGTAGGACATTTGCAGGAGGGGTTTGAAGTTGTTGGATGATTTGGCTTTGTGAATGTAAACTCCCCCTGCTCACAGCACGGCTGCAGGAGGTTCCCCAGGTGGATGCTGCTGATCCCAGGCTTTCTGATAAGATGGTGTAAAGCACAAATTGTGGTTGTGATTTCCACACGCTGCTGTACTCGTAGCAGATCTTCCACCGGGTCTGTGCCATCAGAGGGTGGCATTTCACAGATCCCATTTAGATAAGGGCTTCTATCTAAAGAGCAGATCAGGTTGTAACTATGACAACCTCGCAGCCACAGCTGCACTTCCAGGGCAGGGATTCTCGCCTGCAGTTTTTCAATAATGCATAAATGGAATGTTAGGTGTTAATTCAGATCCTTTTTCTGTAAGGTGCTGATTTTGACCAGTTGTAGCTAATGCCAAATGCAGTGAAAATCATCCTGGAAGTTTGAAAATGTGCCTTTTGCTTTTGTATATACCTCCTGTTTTCTAGTGGTGTTCTGATACACACTTGAGTCTGTAGGCACTGACACAGTACAAAATAGCAGCAACTTGGTCTTACAGCAATTTCATATGGTTTTTAATTCATCAATAAGTAATAATTCCATCTTTTTTTGAAAAAAAAAAGATTAAATTGTGTTGCTTTTTTTCCACTCATCTTCCCCCCATCTGGAGAAATGGAGATTTTTATTGCTTAAAGGGATGAAAGACAAACAAGAGCTCCTTTCTGTGAAAGTATTTGCTGAAAACAGTAATCCTTTTTTACTTTGTGTATGACCCACCCTGTTAAATGTCATGGGACTGTAGATGACTGCTGCAGAATTTTGCAAAATACTTAAAAAAATTGTAATACAAAAGCTCAAAATCAGTGCCCAATAAATTCTACAGGATTTTACACTATCTGTAATGGACTATGGCATTTTGGCTCTGTTGAATCCTATTAAATTTTTGTATTAGGGTATCAATCTTCACACATATACATGTATGATTTTATCTTCAAAGCCTACCAGTTGAACAAAGCTAAGTGGAAGGCTGAAGGCAAATTTTGCATGTTGCCTTAAAGGAGTGACAGAGTTGTGCCAGGTCACAAAGAAGAAATTGCAGCTGGATGCTGGGATTCATGCACCCAGGGAGCTGGATTGTGGTAGTCAGGGAAACAGCAGGCACAAACACTGCTGGGGAACAAAAACCAAACCCAGGTCTGCTCTGTGAATTTTCTGTCAGCACCCTCCACGGGCCCCAGCATGTTGTTAGGGTGGTGTATTTACAGAAAATGCAACAAATTTTCTAATTATTTGCTCTCGTGCTTTTCTTGCTCAGATCCACAGGAAAGGAGTTTGCCCTGAAGATCATAGACAAGGCCAAGTGCTGTGGGAAGGTAGTGTACAACCACTGCATGTGCACAGAGCAGCACTAGCAGCTGCTCATTAGGCATAAATGGTGGGTGTGGTTGGGTTTTCTGACTATTTTCAGAGTATCTCTTTCACAAGATGATAATGTATCCAAGAACCAAATAATAAAAGCAGTGAGTGTTAGTCTACTACATAATAGACAAAAACCAAATTGTTGCCTATTTTATTGGGCTGACAAAAAAAAAGTGCTAATATGCACCCAAAATTTATTGGACTATTGTGATGTGTAAAATATGAGAGAGGAAATTTGCAGCTATATGTTTATTTATGCAATTCCCATCCCACTCTGTCTCTTCTTTTTCTCTCTGGATGGCTCAACATGCTCCTTTTATAAGCAGAACATGGATTTGAAAAAAAAATTCACAACCTTTTATTTCTGTTTATGTGCTGTCACCTTCCTGTTTTAACAAAGATGTCTTCTGTTCTGAAAACTTTCTTTTAATTCAAAATTTAAACAGAAAAATCCAAAATTTTCTCTTCAGGAGAACGGTATCTCATATAATGCAAGCAAATATCTGAGAGCGTCAGACCTCTTCTTTCCCTTCATACTTCTTGAGTACAGATATTTTTAAGAAGGAAGAAAAACTGCCTTCCCTCTTTCTGTGATAAGGAGGAGAGATCCTTAAACAGAAACAATTTATCTGTGCAGATTTTAAACCATGTTTTAGATGCTAGGAGATGAGGCTTTCATTTTACCTCATATTCTCCAGGTTTATTTAGAAAATTTAGAAAGGAATCACAAAAATGTGCAGCCACAAGAAAAAGTGCTAGGATTGCCTTTCTGAGATTAAAATGTTGCAATTTCTTTAGCTGAGGAAAGGGTGACCCACTGCGTTCCACTGCAAACAAAATTTTTGGATGATGTGTACAGCTTGCAACTTTAGATGGTTTTTATTACTTGTCTGAGTCAGCTGCTTAGGTATCATAAATTGGAATGGTCTGGAGATAGATAACCTATTTTACAGAGTAGAGTTTAGAGGAATTTTGTATTTATCATTCTCCTTGCTTTAAAGCATCTATAAAAAGAGAACTCAACCCTGTGGATGCACAATTTCCCATTTTGAAAGGACCTATATCTGTACAGCTAGAGACTGTTGGAAGATGTTTATACCTCTTAGGGCATTGGCAGAATCATCCTGGGAGAATTCCAACAAAGGAAATAATTAAATTTTGCTACAGCTTATTCCTTCCTCACTCAGTTCCACAGCCCTGCCTTAAAAATACCCATCCAGCCCAAATTTGGATGATTTAAGTGTTGCTGACTGTTCCTTGATCTTGGATGTTCAGAAATTTGAATCCAATTGACTGCTTTCTACAAGTGGCTTAAATGTTCATTACACAATAATGTCTTTGTAAATAAATCATATTAATGTAGACTGAAACATATTGCACTATCCAGGAGAACACCATAACAGGTTTTGGAATTATTATTTTTTTTACATGGCAAAACATGGCAAACAGTGGGGTGGTTGCAAATAACTAGATACATATCAGTCAGCATTTTTTGAGGACAGATTTTTGAACAGTAACTCAACAACATTCTGGAGCCTTTTAAAAAAATACTGTTTATTTTAAGTATTAATTATACCTGAGCAGTTCAGTCAAGAAAGCACAGATAAAGCCATTGTGCCTTAGTTGTAATTAATGGGTGTAATAAATTTAATATGTCCCCTGTTCTTTAGGTTGAGAAAGCTGTAATAACATTTTAGTTTTTGCTTGGACTCTTAGTTTTGAATTTCCAGGCTTCCATCCCTGAGGCTTAATATGCTGTGGCTGTTCACGTCTGTCTGGTGATGAGATTCAGCATTGTGTTTAACAGAATTGCTTCCTGTTTGTCTGTTTTGTTTTCTCTCCAGAGCACTTTGCTTGGAGCAGGCATATGTTTGTTCAGAGTGACAATTGCTGCTCTTTCAAAGTGAATTTCAAAGGTGTGGTGTTTAACCCCTGTTTAACCCACTGCTCTCCCACCAAACGAGATGCACCCAGGCATGTGGTTTCCGAGCTATGCAGCCACAGAAAGCTTTGCCAAAAGCACAATGCATCCGTAAATAACCCCAGAAAAAGAAGGTGCAGTGGTGTGAGATCTCCAGGCACTGCCTAAGCACAGTGGATCACATCTCCTCCTGGTGCTCTGCTCACAAATGCATGAAGTGCATGCTCCTTATCAGTGCATTTAACATGGATAAGTTCCCAATCCAGTGACATGATTTGTTCCCTGCCAGGGTGGAAGGATACTCCTGTCTGATGCAAGAATTTTTTCTTTTTCTGCAAGCATTCTCTTCTTTTGCAGGGAACCTAAATACAATATCCATATTCCAGCATTTATAAAGGAAAACTAAAATCATTCTTCACACGGAAGGGACACGTACATTTTTTTTTGCTTTCCAGTGTTAAAATGTTCTAGAAAACAAGGCATTTGAAACTAATTTGTTCTCAAAAGCCATTACTTCCTCAGAAGCAAAGGGAAAGGGAAATTGAACTCAGTCTGTATACTGTTAAGCTGTTGGAGTCACAACAATTTAACTGAGCTACTACACATTTTGTAGATTGTAAATCTGAGCAGACATATAAAATGAACCAAAATCCATAACCAAAGCACTTAGAATGGTTTTTTTTCTTGAATACACTCCATGGCTTTTTTAAAAAAATGAAGTCCTTGGATGCAAATCCTAGGTAATCTGTCCTTGAGTAACCTCTGCTAAATGAGAGGTGAAGGCTGGAGAGGATCAAGAAACTTGTTAATTGTTGATGAGGGGTGACAGGTTCCAATGATCCAGCTGGGGGGCAGAAAGGTTCTGAACTTAATTTCACCTCATAATACCCACATAAGAACATAACCTGCACTTCCTGAATTGCTGTCATGTTCTGGGGTCTTTTTAGGAGATGCCCCATTTGTTATCTGTGTGAAATATTTTTTAAATTAAATGTGGTCAGTGATGAAATACAAATTAAGATCCAGCAACTGAAAGTAACTGTCTGCTATATAAATTAATCAACAAAAAGGGTGCTCACTGATCGAGTGATTGGCTGATCAAAGGAAAAGTGAATTGGCAAATTCATGTTTCAGATGAACTCCCATCCTCTTCTGAACAGGAACACCTGATTGAGAATGAAGTGTCTATTCTGCGCCGGGTGAAGCACCCAAACATCATCATGCTCATAGAGGAGATGGACACCCCCACAGAGCTCTACCTGGTGATGGAGCTGGTCAAGGTAAGGCTCAGGAGCCTTTATTTGTCTTCTTTGAATGTGCTGGTGTGAAATCCGAGCAGTATCTAAGAACTCTAAGATCTTGGGAGACATAAACAAATAAGGTTTCAGTGGCAGCGTGCATTTTTAAATCATAAAAATACACCTGTCACACAATTATATGAATGGGATTTCTCTCTCTTCAGAGTTGTAATTTGACTATTAACACAGATTTGAGGTAATTTTGAAATGTGCACAGTCTAGAGAGAAGTGGATAGTGGGTTTTATATCATGCCTACAATATGCAGGGGTGATAGTGATATGGATTTAGTAACAGATTTTACTATTCTCATTATCTAATAAATTGATTTAAAGAAATGAACTCTCTGTAATGAATTTATCTTAATAGATAAGACAAATAGATTTAACTCATGTGATTTTCATCCTGGAAAACCACAACTCAGAAGATCTCACCCATTTTGCTTATATCAAACATCTCACCAGAGAACAGATGCTGCTTTCATACATGTACAGAGAAAACACAAATATCCTTTTTGCTGTCACCTTGTGAGACAAACACACAAGTAGCATCAGGTTCTAGTCGTGCATTCTCTTGTCTGAGTTCTGTACATGCACAGCAGCACTGCACATCAGCTTGATGGGCATGTCAGATGCAAATAGCATACAGCAAAAGCAGTATGCAGTAGGAGCACTGCTCATTTTTTGAGGAACACTTTCTATTTCTGACTGAGACACTGTTGCTTTCAGGAGTCCCATCTAGAATGGTTGCCAGACTGGGAAGCCTCTAAAGGAAGTGTGTAGTTGTTGAATACATAATTTCTGAAGCCCACTTATCTTTCCTCCTTTCCAGAAGTTATTTTTATACCCTATAGGCTTTTTGGGGTTTCAAGACAGGTTTTTTTTTTTATGTTTTAATTCACCACCATCTTGGCCTGTATTTCCTGAATTGCTGCTTCTCTTTGGTGAGCATCGAAGTGCTTGGAATGCCACCCACAGCTCAGACAGATCACTCCTACAGATGTATCCAGGGAAACCATCATGGAGATACCCACGTGAGATTTGTTGTAATGGCTGAAAATTACCCATCAGTAACTCACTCACACAATTCTGTGTGTTCCCAGAGGAATAGGGCATCCATAAACAGAGCTTGGCACATTCAGAAATCACCTGGAGGTTTTGCACTTTGATATATCTCAATCAGTGGATTCATTTATGTTGGAATGTGTTTATCTTTTTTTTTACTCTTCAGCTGTATTTATTTGGTATTTCTTGCAATATCTTCAGAAATTTGAATTTGCTGAATATTTTTTTAGTGAGTTTAATTTTTTTTATATTATTGGGTTAATTTATTTTAGGCTTTACTCAAAATCAGGGCTTTTTTTCAACATGTTGAAGGTATTCTACTGATAAGATGAAGAAAAGTGATGCTGTATGCCTGTACCTGTAGGTAATATAAATGAGTAATCAAAGGCAGGAAGATCAATAGAAAAAAAATCTGTGATTTACCCAAGCTCAAACACCAGAAGCCTGGAGTACAGTTAAGAATTTAGTGTAGATGACCAAAGTCCCAGTCTAGTATCTTGGTGACATCTTTCTGCAAAACTTTTTTTTTCTGTTAAACTGAAATTTGAGCATGTCTTTTGAGAAGAAAGATTTTGCATGTTGAAGGTTTGGGTTTTTTTAACCAAATACCATCTTAATTATTTTTTAAACAATGATCTTTTTCCTTTCCATTACATAGGGAGGAGACCTCTTTGATGCCATCACTTCATCTACAAAATACACAGAGAGAGATGGGAGTGCCATGGTCTACAATTTAGCCAGTGCTCTCAAATACCTGCATGGTCTCAACATTGTGCACAGAGACATCAAACCAGAAAATCTTCTGGTACGTCCCACTGATTTTCCAGTATTTTCTCTTACTTTGTTCTCATTAATGCAAATGCTTGTGTGGAAATGTCAAGGAGCACAGCAGAGAACAGGAGGCATATTAATTTAGAATAAGTATGTATGAAGTAAATCTTTTGCCATGAGATAGCAATCACTGTATTGCAGGAGAGCTGTGCTCAAACCTGTCCTTAGACCTATCTTTATTTACAGTTTGATTGGCTGCCTTTTGGATAAGCAGGAATATTGTCTCACAAAACAATGAATTTTAAAGCTATGCCAATGAATTATTTATCAGTTTGCAAGTGGGAGAAAGGTGGGCTGAGAGCCATTTCTTCATTTCTTCAACAATCCTATGGTTACCATCTGAAGCCAGTGGTTTTTTTCCTTTCACTGTCATTGTAGGATCATCTTCCTGATGGTTTATCAGAATTCTGGCTGGGAATTAACCCTTCACATATGTTTATTCTTTTCCTAGGCAAGTGGCTACTTTTGTTTTCAGCAGAGACATAAAATAACCATGTTGACAAGAATTACCATCAAGTCTGCTTTGTGAACTACTTATTCCCCAGTCCACAGAGGGCATCATTCCCATTCTGTGCACAGAATGGGATCAGTGTGTGCTGTCTCACTTATCCATCCACAGAGGTTACACTTGTTCATTACATACTGGATATTAAGTGGCACGCACTGCACAAACAGGGCCATAATCTCCCCTGCTTGAGACATTTCTTAAAAGTCTTTTGTGGTGTTTGTCAGTCCTGTTTAATGAGTTTGAACCGAGAGAAGGAGTCACAGCTTATCCCAGACTGGATTTTGAACTATAACAAGGACAGGGCTACAAGCTGAAAATATTCCTAATTAATAGCCAATTCTTTCCCCAGTAATTCCACTGACAGTGTTTAGCAATTTAAATAAACCCTCAAATAAATTAGATTGTTTAGCAAAAAGAATCATGGGGGGAGGCTTCTCCTGGAAAATGTAGTCACAGCAACATGGCACTTGAGAGAGAAAATGAAGGTGGAAGTCTCACGTACTGTTAGTGTATTTCCAAAAACAGACAGTCCAAAGAAATTTTAAGCTCTCATTAGAGATTGAAACAGTTATAAATAGGCACAAATGCTCTTTCTGCCTAGAAAGCCTAAAGAGATTACTCAACAGATGCAAATCTTGCTCACTGTGATTGACAGCAGCAGAATGTTGAGATAGCATCCTGGTGTTGAATGTAAATGCAAATAATTCCCATCAACTGCTACCTGTAATTGCACATACTTAGTTTTTTTTGCACAGGGTCATCCAGCCTGTCTGGATGGGAATTACATTCCCTTTGCTAGTCATGCATTTAAAAAATGCAAACCCTAAGAGTAATAGCTGGTATGAAGGTGTTATATAAAGGAGAACAAGTGTTTCCATTACTGATATGAATTACACAGGGGAATGAAGAAAGGTATTGCAGTGCTCAGTTGTTTGAGGAAGGCAAATAAATTCAGCCATTCTGGAGATTATGGGGTGCTCTGTTCTGGAAACTAGATGCTTTTGAAATCATGTTAATATGAACATTTTACTTTAAGAGTGAAACTGAGATGAATTTATTAGGGGGATGTTTCCTTTGTGTTGGTCTGGTTTGATTTATTCCTGCCATCACTGTTGTATAGCACTTTTCTTTCTATCGAAATTCAGCTTCTTTCATCAATAAAATGACTCAGTGCTAGATTGTTTATGGGTCTTTTGGTAAGGTGCAGCTGGGTCTGCACAGGAACCTAAACTGAATTTGCCCAGAGCACAGGGAGGACATTTGCTGATGAAATTGCCCAATAGGCTGACTAGATTTATGCTAAGATAACAAGATGTTAAACAAATCTGATTGTAGCTGCCAGTGCCAGTTTAAACTGTAGGTCCCAGTCAAATAAAAGTAGAGGATTTTACTGAATATATTTAAAACTTCTCAACATTCAAGGACTAAGTTCTCTTTTCCACCTCTAGTTGCTCGAGGCTGTGTCATGGTCTGACCTACATAGCTGGCAGACAGCTCCATTTAACATCTGCTTCAGCTGCAATTGATGGGAATATCATTTTTTCTCTTCTTGTCCTACAGGGCTGTGCAAATTACCTCTTTTTCCCATCTTCTTGGTGTGGTGATGAGATTTCCCAAAGAAATTAGTGGACACAAAAATGCAGATGTCCTGCTCCTCATTCTGTGTTAATCTCTCTGATTCTAGGTGTGTGAATATTCAGATGGAACCAAGTCTTTGAAGCTTGGAGACTTTGGACTGGCGACGGTGGTCGAAGGCCCTTTGTACACTGTCTGTGGGACACCCACCTATGTGGCTCCAGAAATCATTGCAGAGACAGGGTGAGCATTGCTGCCTACAGCACAGGCCTGGTAGCCACTCTTTTTTGGCAGGTTGTAAGATCTAAATGCTCCAACAGGTTGGCCCTCCATTGCTTTGTAACCAAACCCCAAAAGGGCACCACTCCCAGTTCCTCCAAGAGGCCAGTGTCCCTGCTCTGCCTGCTCCCAGAATTTGCCTTTGCCTCGTCTCCCACCTTCCCAGGACCAGCTCTGGTGCAGTGGAGTCCATGGGTTTGTGCTCCCTGCCTCACTGTACCACCCATGGCAGCTGCTTGGGGAAGAAAAGACAGGCAAAACACAGTTGCTTGCATTAGAAATGGAATCATTTATACTGGAAGAGGCTGCAGAGGTCACCTAGTCTAAACCTGTTCTCAGGACAGTTCTAATTAGATTGTGTTGATTCAAGTGACCCTTTTGGGTTATACATCCTGTTTGATAACAATTGAACAACCCCATTATTCTGTATTTAACAGGTGATTGCATAAATACAGAAAAAAAAAAAAAATTAAAATAGTACATTTTCACCAACGGCAGATTTTCACAAATCCTTTCTCCTTTTAGACCTATGAGATCTCCATTCCATGCTCTGGCTGACTCTTGCCATAGCTGTGACCACTCTGAATTTCCTGATGGAGGGAGGTTTTGTTTGTGCTGTTTCACTCCTTGTTCAGTGCATTTGTTGCATTGAGAAACATTTCACAGCTGCAGTCAGCTCCGGTGTCAGAGGGCACCTCGCCTGCCTGCTTGAGGTTTTGACAAACTGAATCTACTGAATAGGAGAAAAGGCCTCTTCTTGACCTCTGGTGTTTTAATTTCTGTGCTTTAAGAGAAAAGTGCAGCTCTTCTTGCCCGCGTTACTCACTGGAGAGGCTGGAGAATTGGTGTGTCTTGTTGCTTAGCAACACAGATAACCTTTGAGAGAGTTACTTCATGTGGGGACTGAGAAAGCACATCCTTGTCTTTAACCATTAGTGGCTCTGGATTGGGAAAAACCTGGATACTGACTTGGATTTCAGTATATTCAGAAGACCCTGGAGAGCCTTGAGGGAGAGAAAAAAAATCATAGAATCGTGGTTTCTTAAAGATTTGTAAAGGTGTGAAGGAAAATATGCTCAGGCACAAAATACATCACCTCATCAGCAGCAAGTAACTCAGCACAGATTCTCATGTAATCCTGTCAGCATCATTTCTTTTTGATTGGAATGACTCTTTTGTTGTTGTTGTTGTTGTTAATTCAGCACAAGTAACACAGACTTGTTTTCTCAGGTATGGCTTAAAGGTGGATATTTGGGCTGCAGGTGTGATCACTTACATCCTGTTATGTGGATTTCCACCTTTTCGCAGGTGAGTGTCAGAGGCAAAAGCAGCAAAAGCAGTCAGGTCCTTTCAGAGCAAGCCTGACCCTTCTCCCTGAAGGAGGCATCCTTGGGGGAGGAAAAAAGGTGGATCAGACTGATGAGTTTTCCTCACGGATTCGTTCATTTCTTTGAGTGGTTTTCCCTCGTCCCTCATTTTAGGGCTTGGGATCAATTTTTAAAATATATTTTCCTACGGGGGCGGGTGTTTTAGTGCTGCGTGGGGGGTGTGAGGGCAGAGCGGCGTTTCCTTTTGTCCCCACGCGGATCCAGCTCCGCCATCCACGGACTCGCGCTGCCCTCTGCCGTCGGCGCCGGGAGCGGGCACCGTCAGCCGGGAGAGGAGGAATGTGCTTATCCCCAATTTTTAACCTCGTTCCTCCGTTTGGGAAGTGCCAAACGAGCCGTGGGGCTTGCAAAAACCATTTTTGGTACTCAGATAATGCAGAGCCTGTTTTTTTTCATTTTTACAGCAAAATACTTAACAAAATAGTTAGGTTTTAACTAAAATACCTCACTGAACAAAAATATCTTGCAAATAATAAAAATATTATTGATGGAAAAAATATTAGTTCAGGTATTTGGGTTTCTCATGTTGTTATTTCACATGGAAAGCTGAGAATGTGTTTTGAAAGGTATATTATGCAATAAACTGTATTCTTCGATTAGAGTTTTGAGGGAAGGCACAGAGAATGTCCATATCATGCTGGTAGAACCAGGTCATAAGCGAGATTAATAAATGTGTGCTAACTATGCAGCCCCTCTTCCAGTGGAAAAGTTACCTCAATGTATTGGCTCAGAAAAGCTATCACTGTACAAACTTCTAAATTATGCATTTCTAGTAGTTATCAACATAATTTCTGTTCCATCCCCAAATCAAGTTAAAATTCCCATGACAAATTGGCTTTTTCTCTCATAATTTTTTTTTTTTCTTACTGCTGTTTTACAGTGAAAACAACCTTCAGGAAGACCTCTTTGACCAGATACTTGTAGGGAAGCTGGAATTTCCCTCTCCCTACTGGGATAACATCACTGATTCAGCAAAGGTACTGATATTTTTTCTCACCTGTAAGGCTGCTGTGCCTTTTCAGTGGTTCAGCTGAACAATGCCTGGTGAAAGCTCAGGTGTTTCAGGCTGCCTCAGCAAGGGTAGCAAAATGCCAGCTGCAGTCAGGGAATGTCACACGGTGCCCAGTTCACTTCATGATGCACTTCACAGCAGGTTCAGTGCTTCAGCAGTAAAATAAATGTGTCCCTGAATTTTTCCCTCTTGTTACTCCGTAAAAAAAGAAAAATTATTGCTCTGTATCTTGCTTGCAGTAGGCATTTCTTCCTATTTTTACTTGAGGCATTTATTAGAACTTTTCAAGAGGTGCAGCCATGCCTAATTGCCACTGCCAGCAGTTCTTCTGTGATCATGGCAGTTTTGGTTAAATTAATTGTGTCTCTAGGACAAAGATTCAAGTTGTAAGCCCCACTTCTCAGGTTAATTCACTAAAGTGCTCTGAGTAATATCTGAGGACTCACTAACAAGTGGAGGTGGTTTTTTATCTGGCCAGTGAGAAGCTGAATTTTTTTCTGCATTTTTTCTGCATTTCCCAATGGGTGTTTGTTTATCCATTTACCAACATTTTCCAAGTCCCAGTCATCTCACACATTTCCAGACAGGCATTCTGAATAAATAAATTTCTCAGTCTTGGTATTCAAGGTGATGTCTCACTTCAAACTTCCACAGACTAAAGAACTTGGCTGGTTGGGAAAGCTCTCAGTTAGGTGTGTTGTTATCATCTGCTTGAAGAAACCATTTCCCAAAACTGAAGCAATGGACTGTGCCCTTGAAATAATCTTTAAATAACCTTGATAAGAATATGAAGACTGATAATTTGGAGGCTATAAAAGGTTTTTTGAGGAAGGGACTTTGGTCAATGTTTTTTATTCTTCTGCAGCAACACAGAAGAGAACATTTTCAAATAATTTCATCAGTTTCTTGACTTTCAGGTGCAGATTCCTGTCTCTCATTTGTGTTTTTCTTTATGTAATGTTACTGAGTGCATGTGCACTGCCCAAAGAGGATCTCCTCTCTCCCATGTTTGTTTTTGTTCTGGTCATGTGCATGAATATATAGAGAACATAGTGGAACATTAGAGCTGATCTTTTTAATATTTCTTTTTCATTTGTTTTCAATAGACTCAGTGAAACATGAGTACAGTGAAGAAGCTGATCTCAAAGAGACTCTTAATCCTAAAGGGCAAATTTAAGTTCCACATAAGTCACACTGGTATCACTGCTTCTGGTATCTGCTGGGGTTGGTTTTTTTCCATCTAGGTATCAAGAATATTGCACTGAGAAGAACTTGGTGCAACATTATTTTCAGTTTTCATATCCTCCCCCACTCCCTTCAAACTCATCTTTTTTTCTTTTTCCATGAAGGAGTTAATCAGCCTGATGCTACATGTGAATGCTGAAGCCCGCTACACAGCAGCACAGATCCTAAGCCATCCCTGGGTGTCAGTGAGTAAATCACATTGCACTTGTCTCTAATTTGACATTAAACCTGTACCTCTAACCATTAACCTGTGGTGTTCAGAAGCAGCAGTACAATTAGCAAATATAACACCTAATTTACCACAGACACTAAGCTGATGCCTGCCTGGTCCTTCATCTTCTCAGGCAGCAGCAAAGGGGAACACCAAAGTGCATTGCTTATTGATTTAAAATCAATTAATTATTAATAAGTACTAGGCTTACATGGAGACAGTCAATGCTTATTTTCAGACATGTTCTAAAAGAGGGACTGAATGTGATCTGTGGAGTTCCCTGACACAAGAGAATAGAACTATTAACAAGTGCATCAATGGATAACAGCTCCTCTCAAGCATATTTATAATACTTGATAACACCTCCAGACTTACTTAGGACATGATGGGCCATTTAAAGTGGTGATTTGAAAGAAATCCAAGAGAAAAATATGCTTTTCACTTTTAAGATTATTTCAAGCATGTTATTTTTAACTTGCTTGAATCCAACCTGCAACTTAGGACAAATCAATGCACTGGAAGTGTCACATGTCATTTTAAGAAACAGAAGTTCTTTCATAAAACAGCGAGTGATTGCTCAGTTCCTTTCCTCTGGAATTGTCTCTCATGTAGCAGAGTGTGTTCACTTTTGGACTGCCTGTCTGAATATTTACTATTCATTAAAAAGCAGAAAGTACCTGATGATAGAAAACTTTTTTGTTTTTTCCTAACTTGAATATTCTGTTCTTTCTTATGCAGGATGATGCTTCCCAGGAGAATAATATGCAAGCTGAAGTAACAGGTAAACTGAAGCAGCACTTTAATAACACCCTACCCAAGCAAAATAACACATCTGCTGGGGTTTCTGTCATCATGGTAAGAGAAATGAACATTTTTATACATTGATAGTATACTCTGCATATTTTCCTGAGAGTGCTCTATGAGCACGTGTGGTGCAAGAATAGCAAACCCAAAACTAGAAGAGTCTCTAATTCTAGTCTTTATTAATGAATAATGTGGATTGTCTCATCATTGCTTGAGAGCAACCAAGTCTATCACAGTGTGCTGCCCAAGAGTTAAAAATGACCTTTCAAACAGAAACATGTGAACACTAAGTAGGTGTATGTTAGAATGAAGTTTATTAACAATTTTTTTCATTATAAAAACCGAGAATTTTTTAATCATACTGCCCACCTAGTTAACTAGGGTCTACCTCTGTGCCTGACCAAGTATTGCTTCATCTTGAGCACAGTGTTGTTCAATACTACCTGTGCCAGGAAACCAGGCTCCATTCCAAAAACTTCCTTTCTGTCCCTGTCTGATGCAAGGATGGACACTGCACACAAAATGTATCTTCAGTAACTCAAAGAAAGTGAAACCATCCATGGCAACGTAACAGGGACTTCCACCCTCACCCTCCCATTAGTATTAATTACTTTCAAAGGCCAGACCACTTATGTTAACAAGAATTATTGTTTTCATCATCTGAGAACCAGTAAATTTAAATAAAATGTTTCTGCCTACCTCTCTGTCTTTGCAAATACATTTATTAAATGAGTTAAAAAGGCAAACAATTTAAGTGTAGGAAAAGTGATAACATAAAAATAAGTCAGGAAATGGATTTCAGGTTCATGCTCTTGTCTACATTTCATTTGACAGTTTGACTTGACAGTTTGAGAGGGACTTCAGAGCTTCATTCTTTATACTGTTGAGACTATGGATAAGCCTGAAGCTGAAAACTGGTATAAAATGCACTATATATAATAAGAGCAATTTTAATTCTAACTCTCAGCCCCTCTCCAACTTGCATGCCACTTAAGCCTGTCTCAGATCTCTGACACAGCATAGCTTTGGCTTCCTATTGGTGTGAGTTTTTTCTGTTAGCTACTGACACTCCTTCAGCCAGGAAAGTTCACCTCATTTTATGTTTTCCTGCTTTGTTTCCTTCTAACAGGAATGGAAGGATGTAAATGCAAAATTATTAATTGCTGAATGCAGCTCCCAGTTAATGCTGAAAAGTAAAATCTTGTTCAAAACACTGTGATCTAATGAGCTCCCAATTTGTTATTCTTGCCCTGGTTTACCTTGAGCATTGAAATTTAGTTACCTTTGTGTTCAGAAGTTCTTCACTTGCTCCAGCACTCATTGCTTACCAACATTCAGCTTCAGACAAGCACACTTTGTAACTCTGGTGTATTGCAGTGCATTGCTCTCTCAGTCCACCTGCACATTCACTGGAGCCCCTTTAGCATCACCTCATTCCAACACTGTCACCTGGCCCATGCAGATAATACCATCCTGTGGCAGATAAGTAAAACTGCACATCCCCAGTTCAGTGTCCTTGCACAGGAGGCTCCTGCTGCCCCCAAAAGCATGTTGCTCTTAATTCATTACTGATTTTTTTCTTTTTTTTGGTCAATTAAGAAATGTTCTATAAATCTAAACTTGTTGCAATTGTGTTAGTTCTGCTTAAAGTAAGTCTAGTTTCTGTCCCTTGCTTTCTTCCTTTTTTCCTCCTTTCCCAATGCCTGCATTGCTTTCCTCTGAGTAGGTCCAAGGCAATGGTACGTACTAACGGCGATGCTTTGTTCTGCTGCACAAAAAATACATGGTCTCCATTTGTGACAAGAAAGGAGAAATAACTAAGCCAGTCTGAAGTGGAAAAAGCTGTACAGCCACACCAAACCAGAAAAGGAATACCTTTTAAGCACTTAGGAAAAAATAGTTCTGTCTTGAGTGAGGCATATCTGAAATAGGCTAAGCAAACACCAAAACAACAATTTTTTACTTCCTCAGACATGTCTTGGTTTATTCTCCTGGCAGTCATTTTGTGCATGTCTATATCTCACTGTATCTAAAAACATCTAGAAAAATATGAGAAAAGTGAAGAATTGACACTTCTTTTAGAGCCAGCCAAGTGATAATCAGTCCTCGATAAATAAAAAAAGTTCTTGAGTAGCAACAGTAAAATTAAAAAAGAAAACCCTAAACTGCATTACATGGAACTGTATTGCTGCTATGAGGACAGCACAGGAGAAAATCACTGTCAGCATGAACTGAAAGCATGTCCTTCCCCTTTTAAATAATTTTACCTGCCACTGAAATAGCAGAAACCCCTATTTACAACTTTTTCCAGCAAGAAAAAAGGCAATGCAATGGTGTCTTCATAATGATAAAACTCCTTTAATCATAGATCACTAAACTCAAAAGCTCAGACCCAATTCAGCTGCTCCTTTCCTTGCATGCTCCCTTTGTAGTGTTGATTGTCACTAGCAGAAACTCAGTTGTGGACTATGGAATTTTCTCCTTGTACCTCTCTATGCATGGAGGCTAGTCATGTAACTTGAGTTTAAAAAAACCCAAGAAAACAACAACAAAAAAAGGAGGGTAAGTACCTTGGATCTGCTGTCCTTGATGACTTTGATATAATAAATACATCTGGAAAAAAATTAACCATGCTAAATTTGACTTGTGTCAGAAAATTATTTCAGTATTAAATACCTCAGTGAGTAGTGTATTAGTCAAACCCAACTAAAACCACATAAATTTTCATATTAGTAAAGCAAGTCCAATCAAAAGAATAAATTTTGGAGGAAAAGGCAGAGCACCTGACTTTTAGAATTAGCACATACCCTTGAGGTCATGGAAATTGTTGTCTTCAGCAGAGGTATCACATACTCCAGATAATCGAAGAATTCTCAGTTTTCATTCCAACCTCTTACTCCCTTCTCCTGTAAGCTCATTTTAAAGTACAGAATTCAGAAATTATGCCTTTTTGCATCCATGCGAGGTTATTTTCCTACTCTTACCACTAAGCAGAAAAGCAGGCCCTTTTCTTGAAAAAAGAAGAAAGTGTTTAGGTTTCCACCCCTTCTGTACCTTGTGGTTTGTTACAGGAATTGTAGCACTGAGTTCTCAGTAAGCATCACCTGCTTCCTTGTGTCTGCAAAAACACAGGTACAGAAATTTTGCTAATAGTTACTATGACAAGTTCCTTCTCTATCACAACCACTCGTACCATCTTTTTTTCCACATCAGACTTGCAAGACAAAAATTTTAAACCTGCAACATCATGGCAAGCATACATCTGGAAGAGAAGTTTTTCTTACCTTTCCTAAAGTCAGCATCACAAAAATTATACAATTCATTATATAAAATATTTCTACTGTTATTTCTCCTTTTTTATCCTGGCTGTATTGCATGCAGTTTATGTCTTGTAGATTGTTTTAACCCTTAAGACAGGGCTGTATTTAAGTGTTGTTTCATGTTTTGCCTTGGGTTTGTTTTGTTTGTTTGTTTGTAGAACACAGCTCTAGATAAAGAGAGTCAGATTTTCTGCAGCAAGCGCTGTCAGGACTCTGGTAGAGCTGGAATGGAGAAAATTTCTGCAATTGCTGCTGCAGCTGCTGATCCTCGTGTGGCTGGGTCCGAGCCCCTCCTCCCTGCTGCTCCTGAGCCACTCCGGTCCCCCACGCTGCCTCCTCCTGGCCTTGCTGGGGATCAGCCTGGTGCTTAGGACTGGGGAAAACAAATCCACCCGAAGCTCCACACTCTGGCCAGTTTTCTTCATTTCCCATGACTGTTTTCAGTTTGTGTGCACCTCTCATGGCGAGCCCCAGCCAGGTCTGATCCTCTCTCTCACAGGGGGTGAACATCTTGGGAACAGCAGTAGGGGAAAGACTCCAGCAATGTTAGATGGTTTTTTAAGTTCTCTGTGTCAGTAATTAACTCCATTTCACACAGCCTTGGGCTCTAAATAGACTAACTTATGGTGTAGCTAACCATATTTTTATATGAGCAGTGAGGTGGGGAACAGTTACCTGGCCTCACGTCCACCAGCAGGCCCTGTTCTGTTCTTCTGATGGGAATTTTCAGAAAAGTGGGAGAGGCAAACAAGGGAAGAAAACTTCTATTTGCCTTCTATTCCAATGCCTCTATTTTTAGCCAAGTTTCTATTAAACTTGAAGAGGCAAATTTTCACGAAGAATTTTTTAGTGGACTAACTGTAAAATATCATGAGACAAACATGAGATAGAGAGGGAAGGATGGTTGTTTTCCATCAAGTTTGTTATCTGACTTGCAGGCAGGGTAGTGTTTAGATAATATGAATTTAAATAAAGTAAGTTGGGATGTAAACATGAGCAGTGGACGTTTATTTGTTATGAAGACTGGAGTGAAGGAAGCCTTTTTGCTTTAGCCATTTTCTATCCTAACCACAAGTGTCCCACCCACACCTTTCTCCAGGGTCAGACTACCTATTGCTTTAGCCATTTTCTATCCTAACCACACCTTTCTCCAGGGTCAGACTACCTGTTAGATAAAAAAATAAATTAAAATTACTTTGGGCCTGTGAAGGGAAAGCCTGCTGCATGTTATCCAAGCTATGATGAGCTGAGCATCTCCTCATTCTAGGACAAGCTGATAGAGGAGCTGCCATCAGTAGCCATCAGAGGTTTGTCAGTGCTATCCCCCTATTCACCTGGTGCAGGCACTGGAAACCAAATCACAGGATTGGGAAGCAGCTCTCCTTAATCTGCAGTCACAAAATAGACAAGGTTTTCTCTTTACCATAATGCTTAGTTCAATAGAATATGTATTCAGCTTAATCCTTTTCCTTTGCTCGTTCTTATGAATTGGTCATAGTTCATTTTTTCTCTTAGCTATACTTTCTACTAGAATTGTAAAAGAAAGACCTGCAATAAACTTTCTTCATTAAAAAAACAGAACACAAAAAGTCATTCCTTTCTTTGAGAGCTCAGTTATTTTGTCAGTGACACTTGTCTTATTCCCCCTGGGGAGACTGAACAATTAGATGCCTACCAAATCAATTTAATAGAATTAATTTGAGGGATTCCCATAAAGTTCATTGTTTTAAAGTTCATTGCTTCCTATTAAAGCCATGATTAAACATGGTTGCTTTACCTTTTGAAGAGCATTTAAAGATCAGAAAGTGCCAAGTGATAACTTAAGGCCATGGCAGCTGAAAGATGTGCAACATCTTGGCAAGAAAATGGTATTAAAGTTAGGAAAACAAAGCACGTCTTAAACTATGATAAAAAGGTTGGGCTATAACCAATCCTTGCTAATTAACTTCATTGTGGGTTCCCTGGAGTAAGTTCAATATACTTGAAGAGTATGGCAATAGCCTTTCTGTAAAATAATTTGGGTTTTGGTACAGTGCAAAAAGATGAAGCTGTCACTTCAACCTTAATCAGAAGAGAAACGTCTGATTCAGATTCTGGTGAGAGTCTGTAGCTGGCTGCCTGTGTGGTTGGCGATTTCTGCAACAAGTCTCAGACTCAGCCAAAGAAAGGATGTGGAATTTCAGGTGGAGCAGGCTAACCAGCCCCCCCAGCAAAGTCAGGGAGCCTCCAAAAGAGCAGAGCAGAGATCAGCAGAGAGGGAGCAACAAGCAAATAATGAATGCTGGGTTAAGTTCTGTTTTTCCTAAGAGGATGGATTCAGCTATGAAGAAAAAAACTGCCATGGGTTGGTAAGGATTTCCAACAAGTTGTGTTGCACAAATAATTTTGTGTCTATAACAGAAGGGGTCACCACTTGCCTGGTCAACAGCTGCCAGTTCTAAACTACTACCTTGTTTCATAGAAGTAGAAAGTAAAGAGAAATACCTTGAATTCACATCCCTAAGTTCATGACTCATCAACATCTAAACAGTCTTAGACAAGTATTTTGATTCACAGAGCAGAGGCAGGTTCCAAAATGCCTATTTAAAAATAGTGATGACATCTGGGAAAAATAATCATATGGCCAACAATCAGATAAAAACAGGATAGCTAGGAAAGCCCCCTTAGCAAAATTATAGCACTACTCCATGCCTTAAAATACTTCCACATAAGTTCAGTCTATGCATAGTTGCAGGAGATAATCACACTTTAACATAAAAATAAAAATGCATTGGTTAACACCAAAACACTGAATGAAGGTCCCTAAGTATCACATTTGGTTTCTTACCTGCTGCACTTTCATTTAGTCCTTCTCTTGTAGAACCACCAGTTGCTGCTGGAAGAAGGTAAAAATAGTTCTGGTTCACAATTTTTTTCCTGTTATAAAGGGAAAGAAACTATCACAGAAATTTACTATAAGTTACACATTTCTTAGAAAGAACTGTTACAAACACTCCATAGTGACATCTCTACTGCTACCATGCCTACATTTAAAAAAATAATTATTAAAAATAATCTTTTTAAGTATCCTAATCTTTCTAGGTCCTTTGAAAGTGAGTAGCTGTTCACAAAAGCCCAATGAGCCATTCCTGCAGTTTTAAAGTCCCAGGACTGAATCCTCTCCTGCCATAAATCAGCCCAACACTACATCCACTGATTGATTCCCATCAATATTTACCCATACAGACAATCACCCCCTCTGGAACAAAAAGAAAAAAAATTAAAATAATTCTCAAAATACATTCATGAGGATGCTGTTTTGTGGCATTAGTTTCATCAAGTATTGACTCATTCTTGGTGGCTAATTGTCAAGAATATTTACACAGGTCAGTAAATCCCCATTTAACCCTGGTTTTCAAATCTTTCTTCCTCCCTGTAGTCACTGGTCTAATTATTATAGCTAATTAACTTATAGTGATTCCTTCACTTTTACATAAATGTATGTATTTATCAATCAATCATCTTCAGTTTTATCAGGTTTTAAATGGGAAACTATATTTTGCATTTACTCATTCTTTCTTTCAAGCTACATCAAAACAACTGTTGGAAAGCAGCAGAAATGCACAAAAATTAGCAACCAACCCAGAATGCTCACTAAGTAAAACTGATGGTTTTAAGATGCCAAAAAAGACAAGCAAATGAAACCCTCCTACTTGCAGTCAGCTGCAATGTCTAAAGCACAGAAGTAGGTATGAAGTTGAGCTTTTCTGTCAGGGAATTCACTCTAGCATTTTGTTTTCTTTTTAAACTAAATTTGCATTACAAAACAAAAAAAAAACAACAATAACAAAAAAAAACCAAAACAAAAAAACAAAAAAACCCACCAAATCCACAACAGGGCAGGGAGTGGTAGCTGCAAGCAGCTGTGCAACTATCCACTAGGAAGCTGTTGCTTCTGTTCTTGATTTTATTTTTTTATTTCAAAGAGAATTTGAATTTTAAGTGACTTTGTTTCCTTAGGAAACAGGAAGCCAAGAGTGTGAATTGTGCAAGGTGCAGGTTTCAAAGTACCTAAAACAAAGTTCCTTCCTCCCCAAAATAATAGGTGAGATAATTACCAATTAACAGGAAATACTGCAGTCTAGAGCATTTAAATGCTGAATATTTATAAACACTGCTTGAATGACACTACATGTTTTGTTTCAAATGGTCAGATTTTCAATATTTACCCATACAGACAATCACCCCCTCTGGAACAAAAAGAAAAAAAATTAAAATAATTCTCAAAATACATTCATGAGGATGCTGTTTTGTGGCATTAGTTTCATCAAGTATTGACTCATTCTTGGTGGCTAATTGTCAAGAATATTTACACAGGTCAGTAAATCCCCATTTAACCCTGGTTTTCAAATCTTTCTTCCTCCCTGTAGTCACTGGTCTAATTATTATAGCTAATTAACTTATAGTGATTCCTTCACTTTTACATAAATGTATGTATTTATCAATCAATCATCTTCAGTTTTATCAGGTTTTAAATGGGAAACTATATTTTGCATTTACTCATTCTTTCTTTCAAGCTACATCAAAACAACTGTTGGAAAGCAGCAGAAATGCACAAAAATTAGCAACCAACCCAGAATGCTCACTAAGTAAAACTGATGGTTTTAAGATGCCAAAAAAGCAAATGAAACCCTCCTACTTGCAGTCAGCTGCAATGTCTAAAGCACAGAAGTAGGTATGAAGTTGAGCTTTTCTGTCAGGGAATTCACTCTAGCATTTTGTTTTCTTTTTAAACTAAATTAGCATTACAAAAAAACCCCAAAAAAAACCACAAAAAAAAAAAATCCACAACAGGGCAGGGAGTGGTAGCTGCAAGCAGCTGTGCAACTATCCACTAGGAAGCTGTTGCTTCTGTTCTTGATTTTATTTTTTTATTTCAAAGAGAATTTGAATTTTAAGTGACTTTGTTTCCTTAGGAAACAGGAAGCCAAGAGTGTGAATTGTGCAAGGTGCAGGTTTCAAAGTACCTAAAACTGTTCCTTCCTCCCCAAAATAATAGGTGAGATAATTACCAATTAACAGGAAATACTGCAGTCTAGAGCATTTAAATGCTGAATATTTATAAACACTGCTTGAATGACACTACATGTTTTGTTTCAAATGGTCAGATTTTTGTTTTTGCAGCTACAGAGGCTTGAAAAAAGCACCCCTTGCACACAGGATAAGCAAGTCAAAAAGCAAAATGGGAGAGCCAGGTAAAGTAATTTCTGTTACTGGACATTGCTATTACTGATAGCACCAAAGTCTCCACACAACCAGACTGAGCTGTGCCTACAAAATTTTGCAGCTCAGAGCTCACACAGCAGCAAGAAAAATACTAGAATAACTTGAAGAAAAAATAAAATAATCAGTTACCACTTCTCAACTGTTGTCCATTTAGCAAACAGCAAGTACCACATTTTGGAAACCCTTTTACCTGTTCCCACACAATACAACATCATTTCCAAAGCACACCCAACAATCCAGGGGCAAAGTTGCGTGCAATTTTAGATTTTACTAAATGCACACATCTCTTTGGTTTCAAGACTACACTTTCCACTATTATCTCAACGAATTTACAAAAAAAAAAATTGTATTTCCTACAACATATAAATAGTTGTGAAATTTATTACATTCCTTTTCTAACAATATGCTTCTCGATAATAAGTCTCAACTGAATGTACACTATTTACACACACAAGTCAGAATTTATTCTTTCAAACTCTGTATGTTTTAATCTTTTTTACCTCGTGACAATGGTTGTATTTGAATCGAGGAGCTTTAGGTTAGACATACGTGAATGTCAGTACATATAAGCAAAATCTAAAACCATTTCTTACTTTTTTTTTTGTCCAGAGCTTTTGAAGAGCAGCTTTAAAATGTGATGTATCATTAACTGCATTAGTTTACTGAAGATCTCAGGTTGGTTCTGCATAAAAGTGAACTATTTTGGATTTCATGTAATGATGTATCATATGGTAAATCCATGCAAGTGACTGGTTTCAAGTGTTACACAAACATCCTAGCCCTGTATGAGAGAGGTCTCACTGGTTTAGAGCAGCCCTCTCAGAATGGCCCATCACTGGTTCTATTTAAT